GAGTAATTCCATTCAGCACGGTAGTTGGACTTCGATTTCTTAAGTAAACAGCTGTATTTACTGCCTCCACCCAAAATTCATTTGGCATGTTCGAATGGAGTAACATTGCTCGAGCTGATTCAACTACTGTTTGATTAATTTGTTCAGCGATGCCATTCTGAGCAGCATTATACGGTACTATTAATTGGTGGGTCATTCCGTTCTCTTTCAAGTATGCATCAAATGCTTTGTTGCAATATTCACCCATGATATATTCCTTTGCCATAAGCCAATATTGATGGATCATCACCTAGATTCACTACGCAAGGCTGTTTAAACTGCACATATTCCGACAAGCGAGCTTTCTCAAATGTCATGTGCTGGGTGGCTCCAGAATCTATTATCCAATCAGACTTATCAATTATATTAGGTGTGTAAACTGGTAGTGCTTCATCATTGGTACTGTCTTCCAAATTTTGTTCTTCAGCGCAACGAGCTGCTCCTTTACTTTTAAATCCTTTTCCAGTTGCCCCATTTGACTCATTTCTCTGATTTCTCTTTGGACAATCTCTTGCAAAATGTCCTCTCTCTTGGCAGTTGTGACATTTTCCTTGAAATACTCTATCATTATTTTGATTTGTGGTGTTTCCACTTCCGTGTTGTATTCTTCTTTTGTTATACTTTCCTCGACTTGCAGAAAACGCATCTTCATCAGTTTTTCTTGCATCATTGCTTCGATCCACTTCATTCAGAAGCATGTTCTTAACTTTCTCATACGACAGTTCTCCTTCGCAAACAGCGTCTAGTGCGGTTATTAATGGCTTATATTCTTCAGGTAAACTTGCCAATAATGTTATCGCCAACTCTTTATCATTTACATCAATTCCCATTTCCTTCAATTGATCATGCAATGATCTGAGGTGACCAATATGCTCCAACATATTCTCTCCAGCACGGAAATGACAAGAATGGTATTGTTGATGCAATCTCACCTTTTGCAACAGTAATTCTTTGGCAAATTGATTTCGTAAAGCATCCCAGGCACCTTTAGCAGTTGTAGTTTCTCTCATTTGTCTTTGCTGTTCCGGTTCGATTCCCAAACAAATATACATCCAAACCTGTTTTGCTCCCAAGTTGAAGGTTCTTTGCGTTTCAGGGCTAGCCTCTTCTCCAGGAGATTCAGCTGTACCATTCGCATGTTCGAAAAGGTCCAAGCTCTCCAAGTATAGCCGCATGTTGAACGCCCTCACTCTGTAATTCGAGCCATTCAACTTCGCAAACCTCAACGCATTTGTCGAAGTATCCGACGACAAAGCCATTATATTTTTCTTCAAATAATCACTATACAATTCAAATAAACATACAATCGACTTTCCGAAGTGAACCTAAACATCCTGGGCCCATAACCTGTTAGGAAATTGAGGTCTAAGTCGAGCATTTAACCATATTTATTCATGATTGATAACGCTATACAAAAACATATAGATATCACAAACACAAGAAGAACATGAGGTGCCCAAAGGCACATGTGACAACAGTCATGTGACATGTGGTTCATTATATAAACCTTATATAAAGTTCTCAACATGATATAGTATGATGCTATATGATACAGTATGATATGGTATGATACGGTACGATACTTTATGATGCAATATGATACGGTGTGATACTGTATGATATAGTATGATACGGTATGATATTGTATGATACTATATGATGCTATATTATACGACATGATATGATATGATGCTATATGATAAGATATGATACAGTATGATATAGTATGATGCTATATGATACAGTATGATACAGTATGATACGGTACGATACTTTATGATGCAATATGATACGGTGTGATACTGTATGATATAGTATGATACGGTATGATATTGTATGATACTATATGATGCTATATTATACAATATAATATAATATGATGCTATATGATACGATATGATACGATATGATACAATATGATACAGTATGATATGGTATGATACGGTACGATACTATATGATGCAATATGATACGGTGTGATACAGTATGATATAGTATGATACGGTATGATACTATATTATGCTATATGATACGATATGATACAGTTTGATATAGTATGATGCTATATGATACAATATGATACTGTATGATACAGTATGATACAGTATGATACTATATGATGCTATATTATATGATATGATATAATATTATATTATTTAATACGATATGATACAGTAGGATATAGTATGATGCTATATGATACGATATGATACAGTATGATATGGTATGATGCTATATGATACAGTATGATACAGTATGATATGGTATGATACGGTACGATACTTTATCATGCAATATGATACGGTGTGATATTATATGATATAGTATGATACGGTATGATATTGTATGATACTATATGATGCTATATTATACGATATGATATAATATGATGCTATATGATACAATATGATACAGTATGATATAGTATGATGCTATATGAGACAGTATGATACGGTATGATATTGTAAGATACTATATGATGCTATATTATATGATATAATATAATATTATGCTATTTGATACGATATGATACAGTATGATATAGTATAATGCTATATGATACAGTATGATACGGTATGATACTTTATGATGCAATATGATACGGTGTGATACTGTATGATATAGTCTGATACGGTATGTTATTATATGATACTATATGATGCTGTATTATATGATATGATATAATATGATACTATATGATGCAACATGATACGGTGCATGTATATATGTATGTAAAACTTTATTTATTGACGCTAGTCTTGTCAACAGCAATTGTTGATTTCCACAAGGGCCGTCATAACTATGAAAAAAGTACAATTACAAATAAAGAAGAAAGAGATAAGATAAAAGCATAACTATATACAAGAGATTAAGTTGGAGTGACCTGGTGGTATATATAAGACCCACAGTTGATTTTATCTACCTATTAAGTCGTGCTACAAAATTTTTTTGATTGCGCTTCCTTAGCTTCACGTGGAAGATCATTCCAAAGTTTAGCACCACTGTACTTAAAACTTTTTTTAAGAAATTTGCGTCTCGGTTTAGGAAGGGTCAGATCAGTGTAAGAATTTCTGAGATCGTAATTAGTTTGAAGACAGTTCCTCATCATCAATAACTCCTTCAAGTTTGGTGCACTATAATTGTTCAGAACTTTGTACAATAATGTTGCCTTGCTCATAGCTTGTCTTGAATCTAAGTTTTCCCATTCAAGAGCCCGAAGAAGGTTAGCAGACTTGATTTCATTACTAGCGCCAGTTATTATTCTGGCGGCTCGATTTTGAAACTTTTGTAAATTATCTCAGTGTTTTGTTACAAACTCCCCAAAGCGGGGAACAGTAATCGAAGTAAGGCGGAATCAGAGCATTATAAATTGATATCAAAGTATTTGCAGGAACATAAGCCTTGATATGCCTTAAGATTCCAATGCCTGCTCCGACTTTCTTGCAGACCATTTCTATATGCTCTTCCCAACGCAATGTTTCATCAAGTTTAACTCCTAGACATGGAATTGAGTGTACTCTGGGAATCGATTGATCATTAGTCATTACGGGAAACTCATTGTCAATTTTAGCAATGTTATGATTTGATCCAACATACATTATTTTGGTTTTTGTTGAGTGGTACTGAAGTTTATTTTTGACCAGCCATTGATTAACATTGTCTAAATCATGATTCAGATTAGCATTAAGGTCTACATAATTTTTCGCAAATGAAAATATCTGTGAATCGTCGGCGTATAAGCATGGAGTGGACTTTTCTAAACAGTCAGGCAGATCATTAATATACAGTAAGAATAATAAGGGGCCTAGTATGGATCCTTGAGGGACCCCACAGACAATTCTTTTAGGTGTTGACGTTGCGCCATTAACAAATGTCACTTGTTCCCTGCCACACAGATAGGATTCAAACAGTTTTAATTTGATATTTGAAATCCGAAATTGTTCTTTCATTTTGCGCAAAAGAATATTATGACTAATAGTGTCAAAAGCTTTTCGAATATCAATAAAAACTACACCATTTAATTCACCATTATCCATATTTTCATACCATGCATCACACATCTGAATAAGTGCTGCCAGCGTAGAATTTTTTGGGCGAAACCCAAACTGATGTTTAGAGAGAAGAGAATTAGCGTTTAGAAATTCATACAATTGATTTAAAATAGATCTCTCGAAGATCTTGGTAATAATCGGTAAGATTCATATTGGGCGATAATTTTCACATTTTTCCCTATCTTCAGATTTGTGGACAGGTACAACCCAAGCCTTCTTCCAATCGTCAATATAGACTCCGGTTTTAATACAAAGATTAAAAATCCACGTTAGGGAAGGGCTAATTATTTCAGCTGAGATTTTAAGTACCCTTGCTGGGATAGAATCAAGGCCTGTCGATTTTGAGGTCTTAAGATTACTTAACATAAGAAATACATCGTATTCGCTTACTTCGTTCAGAATAAATGGAGTTACTGGACTAGAAACAAGATTTTCTGACAAGTCCAGAGAATCATGGTGAATTTCAGCGGATAGTTTTGGCCCAATGTTCACAAAGAAGTCATTAAAGGCCTCAGCTATCATTAAATTATCAGAGATAATAGTGTCGCCTATTTTTAATTGGGAAATGTTGTTTGATTTATCATTTCTACCTAAGAGGTGGTTAATATGGTGCTAACTTTGTTTAAGGTTTTTAGCCTGGGCACAATCCTCAAATTTGTCCCTAAAATAGCACTTTTTGGCTTTACACAATTCAGAGTTAACTTTATTGCGAATGTCTTGATACTTTGCCCAGTGTAATTGAGAGTTAAATTTTACTGCTTTCTTTTTGTGAAAGTCTATAGCTTTCATCAGGTTTTTGATGTTGGGAGTGATCCAAGGAAGTGAGTTGCCTCGTATTCTCATACATATAAATGTGTGTGTCGATCAAGTACTTGCAAGTATAAAGATCTCCATAGTAGTCCAGTAATTTTAGGAGATTTTTTTGTTAAGGTCGGAAAAAAATAGTAAAAAGTTGAAATTTGCAGTATGCAATCCTTTAACCGTTCTCAACAACATACTAAAAGTCCTCATGTATCCCGCTTGAGCTTTTGTTGTATTAACGCCAGAACCATACACTACCTTTGAACGGAAATTTTGGCAGATTGAATACATTTTGTTGGATTTGGTTGGATTTGGCAGTTCAAAAGTGGAAGCACTGACAATAACAATTGTCTGCAGACGCTGCGAATTGAAAATATCTCAGTTAAAAAAATGTAAGTATATGTGCAAAAAACCTTTATTTTCTTCAGAATTTACACTATATGTTAAACTCTACCTTCGGTATGCAACAAAAGCTGTATAATATATGCCAGTCTGCAAAGTTTACTTTTTAACCGGATATCGATTCAGCCAGGCACATGTAAATGTACGCCAATTTTGGAAATGTATATGTGCAAAAGTTCCAAATACATTTATTTTTTAGACTTTAGTATAAATATATTTGGTCCAATTTTGCAAACTCTGAATAATTACTTCTAAAGGTAAACAAATGTACGCCATATGTACGCCAAAATTTGTGTTTGTACACCGGACAAGTCCGGTGTACACACTTTACTTTCCAGGCTGGTAATATATGCATTTGGCAACTGGATTTAAGTTTATAGCTATAGAGTATAGTCATACGTTTCTACACTCTACAGATCCCTTGCGTTGTTTATGATTTGGTATTTTTAAAAGGCAAATTTTCCAAGCTCCCAAGAAAGCTTAGTTATTATATATGCATTGTAGCATACAATAGCACAATGGCGCACATATTCTTTGGTCATATATGATCGGAATTTAATAAATGCAAACAAGGCAAGGGTCTGTTGCGCTATAAAAATTTGTACTACCTTGCTTGCTATTTGAAGCCCTTGTAATGTGTCATCCAAAGAAATATTAGATTACTAGTATGGAATGTTTATAAATTCGCCATATAGAATAGACCTTTTCGGTAATTACGTCACAACTACATTGAAGCGAGGCTTCTAAATAAAAGCAATATCGCTTGGCCTCTCAGCCTCGCTTCCGTGTAATTTTGACGTAATTACGAAAAGGTCTATTTGACTGAATGACCTGTTGGCATTTTCAAAAAACAGTGGAGCCTCCCCATGTTGTAAACATGATTAATGTAGAAAGTATCGCGGGCTTATCTTGCTAACAATATTATTATAGTCACCAAATTATTGCATTGATTTTTAACGTTTATTCATTAAAACACAAATTAAGTGTGAAATAAAATATATTAAGCCATTGCCAGAAATCCAGGACAGTTTCTGCACAGTTACAACGTGTTGCCTCGCGGGCGCAGATATAGCACTTTTGATTTTTAAGACTTTTCGATTACATCGCCATTCATTAAACAGTTTTTTACCCATACTCAGACTTTCGTAAAATGGTAAACAATCGAAGGAGCAATATGCTGAGAAGTTCGAAGAAACGTTTTGAAGTGGAAAGAGTTATTTTTCGCAGATATCATCGTAGAAAGGTGTGCATAATATGTTTTCATGAGCGCTCAAAATATTTATATTACAATGTCAATGACATTGACAACGACAGTCTATTTATTGTATTTCACTGTCTCTTGTTTTACTTAAAAAACTTAGATTGGAAACTTTTTCGGGCTGTTTATTATCGTTTATTAATGACTTGTCATGTTTAGGTAGAATATTATGTAAAATGGAAAGGGTATAGTTCTTTAGCAAACACGTGGGAGCCTGAGGGGAATCTTAATGCAGCTGCAATCAGGTATCTATTTTTCTCTTTTCTCCTATAAAGTGGATAAACTGTAGTTTTTAATTCATCATCGAGATTGAAACGGATAGATCTGTTCTTAATTTGAGGCTGCTTTATTAATTGGGCTATTGTATTAAAAAATCATACCTTTGACCCTGTCGAGGACGTCTGTTTTCAGGATTTATCTCTCTGGAAATCAAAACAAATTGTGGTCTGTGTAACTAATCCCTTTGAAAAAGTCCTCAACCCCCTAAATATATTTCTAGCAGAATCTGCATGACTATAGTTAGCATAGTTCAATAAACGATAAACGTTTCTTTTAATAGAGCTTATAATAATCCACAACCTTCACTTGAAGCTATTGAGGAAGGGAGAGATTTCTTACTTTGTGGAATACAAAAACAGCTGAAATCGAGAAGCACTGTACCAACTGTCATCTCATTTCGGCGTGATGTGTTTAATTATCTTTTCAATGGAAAGGGGAAACCAGGCAATGACAGAAATTCACTTCTACTTGAAAGAAATGATTTTAATCATTTCCGTAATTTTCCAAACAATTGGGATAAAATTGTGGACAACATTGGAGACGGATTAAAGATAGATTTTCCTATAAAGCTACGCTCATTCTTGTCTTGGGGTCCACAAACACATACTTCTTTTGATGGAAAGTTTTTACCGTGCCCAAGATATCGCCCAGAAAAGTTAAGCATTTCAATACGTAAAAAATCATTTACTCTTTCTATTGAATATTAAAAGCTTATTTAACGCACTTAACTCTTATGCATGTTGTGTTCTAAAAATATTACTAAGTAGCAATAACTTTAACATTAATGACACTAAGTCTATTACACTGCACCGTTTTCGTAGCGTTTTCGTATTGTTTAAGAGAATTAGACTATTGTCTTGTGCCCCCTTGAGGATTAAGAACAATACAAAAACGCTACGAAAACGGTGCAGTGTAAAGGTAGCCTAAATACGAAGGAACTGTAAATGTCACTGTTTCAGTCATGTTATAAATAATGGTAAATAACTTTGTCTTTGTTTATGAAACGGTTTACATTAAAAGAAAACCAGTTATGTTTATAAGTTTAAATGATTCACTACTAAACTAGTTTTTTCTCTTCGTTTTAATTTTGTATTACAAATATTCCTTACTCAAATCCTTACTCATCCTACCTTTAATCTTCAATCTTTATGCACATTGCACCAAATGCATGCGTAGTTCGATGTGACACATTTAATCCCAAAGCAATAAAAGTTTTATATCGACGATTGGAAGGTAAAATATTCACTCATGAATGACAATGTGCCACAGTGGTTTCTGTTTTGTTTGTTTTTTTTGCGCATTGATTATGTATTTACCCGTAAACAAGACTTATATATTTCTGCGCATATCTAGCATTTGTAATGTCCTTGATTTCTGGCCATGAGCAAGTCAAATTGCCTTTGCAAAACCGGTAGTATAGAAATGGGAGGGTACCGGACTACTTGCCCTTGCCAGAACAGGGCGTAAAACAAACAAATTCCCTCCCAATCGTGGGAACTGACCAAAGACTCGCGATTTGGTTACGACTGTAACTTACGGCTGGAATTTACTTTTCTTCAAGGCCATGTTCTGGCAAAGGGCAAGTGGTAAGTGGTTCCCCCCCCCCCAAATTTTATACTACTAAAACCGACAAACTTTTCTGAGAATTAGATAGGAGTACACATTTCAGGTCTACTATTTCTATAGTATCATTAACTACATAATTTTGCAAATATGTACTACAGTATTTAGCTTCATGTTAGTTTTCTCAATTTCTTATATATATCATGAACAGGACGTTTTTGTGTTATTCACTTGATGCGAAGATTCAAAAATAATCAGAGACTAAAAAATAAACATTGTCAGTATGAACCAGCAGAGCATTTGCATTCTATGCGATGAAGAATTGTTAGCAGAGGAAAGTGTTACTGTGACAAGAGGAATGGAGACCATTCGAAAAAGCAGTGAACAACGCGGGGATGGAATCGCAGAAAGATTGGACGGCCTTTCATCAATCGATGTGCACATAATATGTCGTAAAAACTACACACGTCAATCCAGTATTAAGGCCGTGCTTCAACCTTCTCCAAAAAACAAAAACCCTTAGATCTTCAATGACGCAATTTAACTTCAAACAGCACTGCTTGTTTTGTGGCGATGACTGTGATATTTCAATTGAAACAAAAAAGCCTTTAGCCAGACGGAAAAGTATACACGAAATACGAACAATAACATGTAAAACCACGATTGCTAATGCAGCAAGTGAACGTGATGACGAATGGGGACAAATCGTACTCTCGCGTGTTGAATCCGCAATAGACTTGGTGGCTGCTGAAGCCAGGTACCATGGAAATGTTATGCAAATTTCTTAAAATTGCCATCAAAACGTAAGCCAGGTCGTCCACAAGACAACGATTTGGCAGAGGCATACGAAAAGCTGTTCTCATACTTGAGTGAAAATGATGAATGTCAATACTCGGTTGATGAGTTACTTCATAAACTTGCAGAGTATCTTCCACAATCTAAAGACCTATGTTCTGAGAAGACATTGAAGAAAAAACTCGAAGAACACTTTGGGGATGACGTTATTATTGCGAGCAGACGAGGAAAAACACCAGTTGTTTGTTTTAAAGACACTGGATTCAAGATTCTCAACAACTCTTGGTATGAACAACGATCACAAAGCCAAGAAGAAGAACGTTTGCGTGTCGTAAAGGCTGCAGCTGCAATTATACGAGAAGATATTTGCTTAAAAGCTTTCGACACTTCTGTGTATCCAACATCTGAAGCAGCATTCGATGATACGTCCATTGTCCCAGAAACATTGAGAACCTTCACACATACTGTGGTTAACAAAACCAAGAAAGGAAATACTGCTGGAAAGACACGAAAGTGTACAGTTATTAATCATTCCATAATCTCAGCTACTAGACCCAGGTCTTTCCTCTCCATGATACATGTTGGACTTTCCGTGTACATACATAGACATTTAGCATCTCGGCATTTGATAGACTTACTATCCAGTATTGGTGTCTGCGCATCATACAGTGAAGCAAGGCGGTATGAAGCCTCGGCAATGCTTGGCAAGCAGCAAAACGTCAGTGAGGAATCATTCAAGCAATTCGTATTCGACAACGCAGACTTTAATATACGGACCATAGATGGATATGGAACATTCCATTCCATGGGTGGGGTTATGTGTGTTACACCAGCTTCAGGAGTTAAGTCACAATCTGATATAGAGCGTGTAAAGACATGTCCGCCAGCAGAAAAAATAGCAGCAGTGAATAATGTGAAACTACAAAGATATAGTGCATCCAACACCAAAGGTATTCATAACATTGTGGTGGAAAACCCAGCCAAAATCCGACAACTTCAATCAGCCAATCCAGTTCACAGTTTCCTTGACTTTTTATGGATGAGTGGTTCATGGCTTTCGCCACCCAAAAATCCAAGTTGGAGTGGATATATGGAGTTGGTAACCAAAGGCATTATTAATTACCAGACATCTAAGGTTATAACATTACCATTTGTCAACTTGCCACCCAGCAGCTTGGACGCCATTTACACGGTTCTTAAATTTGCAGCAAATGAGTGCGAGAAATATGGGCAGCAAACATGTTTTGTTACGTTTGATCAGCCCTTGTACGTAAAAGCGGTGGATATGGTGGCTGCTTCCTCTAGTGGCAGTGAACTCTCTTCTGTCATTGTTAGACTTGGTGGTTTCCATCTGCTGATGTCATTCATGGGAGCTGTTGGTTACATAATGGGTGGGAGCGGCCTGAAAGAGTTGTGGAGTCTTATATATGCAGTCGACTCAGTTGAGAAGATGCTGAATGGACATGCTTATGCTCGAGCATTACGAGCACATTTTTTGACACAGCTTGCGTTGATAATCGTCATCTTGCGCAATGCGGAAATCGATGATTTGACCATCGAACAGATTGTTTGTCTTCACGAGTCGGTAATGGACAATAGTACTTCTCATGTAGATGCTTCTAAAAGTCCGGCACTTAATCGTGTCATAGAAAAGATTGAGGCAGTTCAGCTTTCTGCCAGTAATGAAAGTCGAACAGCTGCATTGTGGGTGCAATATATAAATCAGGTAATGCTAATGCGTGATTTCATACGTGCTGAAAGATGTGGTGATTGGAAACTTCACCTTGTAACAATCCGGAAAATGCTTCCGTATTTCCATGCATCGGCTCATCTCGCATATGCAAAATGTGCTCACTTATATATCCAACAGATGTCAACATTAGAAGAGAAGATGTTGCCAAATGAATTCGAAGCCTTTACCTCTAAAGGTTACTTCACAGTGAGGCGAACGGACAAAATGTGGGCAGGAGTATGGACAGACATGACCATAGAACAGGTACTAATGCGGGCTATGAAGACGTCAGGAGGTCTGACAAGAGGTCGTGGGATGACAGAGAGCGTTGTTAGTCGTTGGGTGTTGGGTATGCCAGGTTGTAGTGAAATTACTCAACACTTTGAAGCATTTTGTGATGTTACCTTCACCACAAGCGAGCAACATGTAGAACTTAGAATGTCTCGTCAATTGCGAGATCAGAAAGATGTTGATACCCTTCTTCAGTGGCTTATGGTTCACAGTCCCATGATGTCAACCAAGGAATTGATGTCAATAGCGACTGGTGTCGTGGCTGACAACACAATAAATTGTGATGCTGCTGTTAAAGTTGGAACAGAAGCAATGCAGAAAATATTGGGAAAGACGTTTGGAGACATCCAACTGCACAGAAAAGACAAAGTTCTTCCACTGTCCTGTGTCAACAACTCGGTAAAAGTACGTGAAGAGGTCATTCCTGTAAATACCATGCAGTTGTTTAACAGAATTGTTTGTGTCATCAAAACAGATGAAGATTTCGCCTCTTGCCTAGAATATGAACTAGCTCCCAGACCATTATCACTCTTTGATGAGATATCAATGAGAAAAACTCAGAAATCGGTCATGTATGATGTCATAGAATCTGTAGCTGATAGTCAACAGACATATCCTGCAGGTAGTACCGTCGTCTTGGATGGTGGATACTTATTGAGACGAGTGATATGGCCGCAACATGGCTCATACAGTGACATATATTCATCATATGTGACCTATGTTCAAAAACACTATGAAACACAAAGGGTCGTTATTGTATTTGATGGCTATAGTGACGCTCCGTCCACAAAGTGTGCTGAGCAAAATCGGCGAGCAATGAAGGCGCAGTCGACAGAGATCTTGTTCACGGATGACATGCCTATTACTATCCGTCAAGAAAGATTTCTGACAAATGGAAAGAATAAAGCACGGTTTATTGAAGGTCTAACGCGATATCTTGAACATGCTGAGATAGAAGTGAAACAAGCGGTAGCAGATGCAGATGCGTTAATTGTGCGAACTGCAATTGATTTGTCGACCAACAACAACGTTGTCGTAGTCGGAACTGATGTCGACTTGCTTATTTTGTTGATACAGCTATCGAAGAAAGACAACCAACTCTATCTGTACAAACAAGGAGCTGGAAAATGTCCAGATAAAGTATTTTCTATCAGAGATGTTCAGAAACATTTGACAGAAGTATCCAGCTCGTTGTTCTTTCTGCACGCCATGACAGGTTGTGACACTACCTCCGCCCTGTACAGACAAGGCAAGAAGAAGGCGTTCAACCTCTTACAGAAAAACGAGGAATTACGGCGCGAGGTGGTGAGTGTATTCAACGATCCAACATCTTCCCCTGATTCTGTGTCATCCGCGGGAGAAAAGTTTCTTCTGGCATTGTATAGTGCTCCTAAGTCAACAACTTCTCTGAATGATCACAGACACAAACGATTCATGAAAGCGGTAGCTAACTGTCCTGTTAACAACCAGATGCAACTCGCGGCTTTGCCACCGACATCTGCAGCAGCAAAGGAACATTCATTCAGAGTGTATCATCAAGTGCAACAGTGGTTAGGAGTTGGAGTTGCCCCCAACTCAGTGGGGCTGGCAATTGAAAAATGGAAACCTGCAACCGGTTCTCACTCGTCAAGCACCTGCGCCTGAAAACTGTTAACTTTTGATTCTTGCAATTGCAAGAGTGGCTGTGAGCGATCATGTGGCTGCAAGAAAAGCAGGTTTGGTTTGCACCGTTCTGTGTGGCCATGCAACGGAAATGGCTGCAGTAATTCGAATCACCAATTGTATGTGAATCAGAAATGGATGGAGAACATATTGATTTGATGAAAAGAGCGAAGGCA